AGCCTGAAACTAAAATTTTCTGAAAATTTTGAAAAAAGTTACATTATTTAGTTTATTAGATCTTATGCAACATAAAAAAAATTATGAAAAAAAAATTAAGTGTAAGGCTTTCAGGGAAACAGCCGTCCTATATGTAGGACAGTAGGATAATAAGAGGAAATAAAAGACCATTTATGACAAAACAGAATGTAATCAAAAAATGTAGTTTATTAGATAACTATTGATTATATTACCCATTATTATATGTAATTTACTAGATTAACACTATTTATGAATGATATGTTTCAAAACACTTGACACACACTCCAACATCACATTTCTTGCAACGTGTCAAACATTTTTGTGACATTGACGACAGCGTGTTTGCTTCGATTGAGGAATAACCAGATGATTCATTTGGTCTGTACGACTATCAAAATGTTCATGATGGGAGGGAGGTTTACCTTTTATGTGCTGTTTGCAGCCATGTCTACCATAGTAGGGGATCATGACCTCATCTACACTGTAATGCTCTTCAAGAGGAGAAAACTTTAAGAACTTTTTATTTAGAAGTGTAACTAGGGGGCGTACTTTTGTGTATTTGCCTTGCAAATCCAGATTATCATTGACATGAAGGTGGCGAAAAATAAAGTCAAATCTATTGCTAGTCATAGTCGAGCTGATCAATTCAATCTTTGTATCAGGGGAGTTTTCCCAATACATTCTTCTACGGGCGAGCCATGAATAACCACTAACCAACAATATGCCCATGAAACATTTCATATCTTCAGTGGTTATGTCTCCAGGCAAATTTTTTTTGACAGCATATTTATTGCCCTCTGACACCAACAACGAAATAACATCGTCATCTAAGAAGTTTTCATACCACTCAATTGGTCGCTTATCTTGGCAAGCGCCTTGAACATCTGGCCAATTCACGAGATTTTTTGCTAAGTCCCGTAGAATCAGAAGGTTCTTCTTTTGTATCACTCACCATAATCTGCCCTTGAATCATTACTTCAGCCGGTTGAAGCAGAATGTTTCGTGGCAAATTATTCAAAGTTACATTATCTTCTTCACCCGAATCTTCGTCAGTGAGACAGTCAGGATCAACAGGAGGAGGTAGAAAACATATCAGTCGTTCTCTATAACCTTCTTCATTATCAGAAACATTTTTTAAAGCATCTAAAATTTCATGCGCAACTAACGGTCTGTAAAGAAAAAGTTGTATTATTGTACTAAAATCATGTATATTATCCTACTGTCCTATATATAGTACGCTAGTATTTGTAACAAGTTATACGTAATTTATTTATATTATTTTTCTAGAATATTTATTTAGTACAAAAGTTAAGGTTATAAACTAGATATTAACACAGAAAAAAACAACTCACGAGTAAAATATAACTTTTTATAAATACCTGTCATTTGCCATGTCTGCAACGCACTTTTATTACACACTTATAAGGTAAAATAAAGGGTAAAAACTGTTAAAATAACGGTCTTTTTATTTTTTCTAATAAAGCTGACACGTTTCTTACTGCAAATCATATGACTAAATAATCTTAGATACAGAGGATATTCTGTTATTTTTTTTTATTTCTACTGTCCTAAATATAGGACAGTAGGCTTATCTGGGTTAATATTTTTAGATTTACTATCAAGGTTTACCTTTGTAAGTATGTTTGGTTGTTTATCTTTTACTCAAAAACTACTGCACAGATTTTTAATGAAAGCTTAAAATGGCATAAGTTAAACATCAGAAGAACAAATAGATTGATTTAATAATTTGGTTCAGTTACCTAAGAAAAGTGCAATAAAAGTTGTATTTTATTATGAAGTGAGCAGATTTTTTTAATATAATACACATTAAATCTTTCCCTCTAAATACTATTCCAAAGTTCAAGTATACTAAGTCGTGGGTATAAAATATTGTAGTTCATATCATGCAGGACATTAATACTAGAAAGGGATGGTTTAATTATTATTTATTATTAAGGCACCAATTACAAATACAAAATAAACACAATACAATGAATTACATCTACCAGGTGAAGTCAATTATAGTTAGTAAATGTATAACGATTATCGTTCTATCATTAATAAAATATATTAAAAGAAAAATGATTTTGTATTTTAATTCTTTATAAGCAAGCAATAAATCTAAATATTCTATAAATGAATGTTACGTTTCAATGATTTCTTTGTAATGCAACAAACATTAATTAGTTTTTAATTTATAAAGGGTGGTTTTATTTAAGGATACCGGTATTAACAGCGCCATTTAATTTTTAAAACGATGGTAGTGATGACGTAAATTCACTTATTTAACTTTCCTTGAAGAGATTAGAATAGTTTTTAAAATATAGAGGTTATATGAATTAAATTTAAAATTTATTTAGAAAGGATTTAAAAAATTAGATTTTAAAATAAAATGAGCTAATTTTTTTTAAATATTTTCAAAAGAAATTTAAATAACAAAGCGCTTGATATTGTTTTATAAAACAAATAATATTGGATTATATTAAAAACGGTTTCTGAAAAGTACGCTAAGCGTTAATTATAATTAGATATATAGTTTTATGTAAATATATAAATGTATTAAAATGACATACATTATAATATTATGGATGTGATATTTTAAAAATTATATTTTTCCCTTAAATACTAAGGAAACGTTCCCAACAGCTAACCTCTGACGTAAAAATAAGATTTTATGACAGCGTTTACAAGATATTCGCATTATCATTAGAGTTAACAGGCATTCTCACTAACAAAATATTTTATTTATCAGAAAAAATAATGTAGATATTGGTACAAGGATAATGTTTTAGCTTATTTAAATAAGACACAATCTAAGTTTCATACAACTGCGGACCATGTTTACAAAATGAAGGAGCCGTTGTTTGCGATAAAACATCAGTGTAAACAACTTAGCATCCTTTACACTCTCAGCACGTCCTTAGAAGTTTCAAATACTATGCGTGAAACCCTTAGTTTATTGACCGATCCATTTTCAACTCCACTCAATGTTGCTGTGATGTAAACAACATGATCCGTAGGCACTATTGTCATTCTCATCTTTAAAATGTTTGAAATACGGATCATATCGATGATTTGATGAAATATTTTTGAATATATAATTTAAATTATATTTTATTGATTTACTATAATTATTATATAGCAGACGATCGTTGACATAATTTTATAAAGTAACTAGAAGACCCGGCGAACTTCGTATCGCTCTATAATGAGGAAATACCTATTACGTTTTTTTATTTATATTTTTGGAGTTTACCTATTAAAGCCATAAATCTCCGTGTTCTGAAGTGCGACGGAATGATTGACATATTAGTTAGTTGTCAAATATAATGTCAAAAAGAACGTTTGTATGGGAAATTGAAAAGGGCTGTTTTTATGGTTTTCCCGGAAATGAATCATTTTTTTTCAGCTTTTATAGCTTCCCTGAACCTCCACGAACATTTCAAGCCTAAGATAAGATAAATCCGTTCAGCCGTACTCGAGTTTTAGCGAGACTAAGGAACAGCAATCCATTTTTATATATATAGAAGATAAGCGAAACGAAAGACTAAGAGATTTCAATTCTCTTGACAGTAAAAATGAGTTCATGATCAATATTCTAAGACAATAAATATTTTTTACAAATGAAAGTCTATTAATGACAATTTTTATGTACATTTGTAAAAAAACGTAGCAGTATTAAGACCATATACAAATGACAAAAGATAGTGAGCCAATATTTGAGACCTATTAAGAGTACCATTCCTTTACAACAAGCGGGTATATACATACTCGATTATGACTGTGGCTTGTCATACATTGGATAGACAAAGAAAATAATCGGTAAAAGGGTTGAAGAACACATTTCAGACATCAAAAATGGGAGCGCGTGGAAGCCAGCAATGCGTGAACACACCATAGAAAAGTCAGGCCACTACATTCGATTTGATAATCCTATCTAGCAGGAATCTATCTAACACCTGAGATCCCTTATAAGAAATATAAAATCCCATATTACAGACCACATTGCGAGACCTCGAGACACAGTAAGCTCATTCTGCCGCCATCCAGAGCGGTTCGTCAGAAACTGAAGAAATCGTTGGCTGTAGATGAAAAATAAAAGGATCAACTGTTAGACATTTACATTTCGTCTGCCCGTGATCACAATTGTTGCGAAGTAATCGAAACGTGGGAGTATGTTGTTAAAAATAATTATAAAAGCTTAGTAAGACTGAAAAGTATTAGTTTTATTTCAATGAATACACGCGAAAGTCTTAGATCTCATTACCTTATCATATAATCTACTCATTTTGTTTTTATGAATTCAATTTTCTTCAAAAAATTGTGAAGTTGTTTGTAATTTTGAATAATCGTTCCTAAAATAGTCTATATACATACATTCACTGCATCTAGATAATCCAGTCCCGGATCTTATTCCCATCCCCGCCTCTTGGGATTACTTAATCGTAAACCCGGGATACCAGATCAGGCTATAGACAATACAAACACAAAAGACTCAAGCATTTATGACATCATGATTCATCTAAGGCGGCTCTTCCATAATGAATCTTGAATTTCTTGATCTACTTTTACAAAGGTTACTTTGGACGCTCCGAATTAAATTGGATTTTCTTATTATATGTCACGTACGAGTATGCAAATTCGTTGGGTTCAACTTCGCTTGGGTTAAATATGTCCTTTCTATAGCGTACACAGTTATCTATATAGACTATCTTTGGCCTCAGTTTCAGTAATTTAAAATTAATCTTAAATCTTTCTTTTATAATAGAAATATAAATTTATAAAATAGTTATTAACATATTGATAAGTGATTTATTATGAAAAATGTGTGATTTCATTTATTTACTAGTGTTTTAAATAAATATGTGGGGGAAAAGCGTAAAAATGGAAATCATATAACATTATATACAGTTTTTATTTACATTTTTTATTTATGTCAGGTACAAAAATAAATAAAAATTTTAATTATATTAGCTTTTCTATTTCAAGCTCTCCTTTCTCTTTGTGATGTTTTCTGCAAAAATATAGTTAAGTTAATTTATTAGTGTTTGGAATTTTATTAGGTTCCTTAAAATACGTTTATGGAACATAAAGACTTACCAGGATCGTTATCTTCTTCAGGCTTGTTCCACGACTGCTCATCGGAGGTGGTAAAAAGAATGAAAAATAGATTTGTCAAGAAATAAATTCCGGAAGCCAAGAAAAATACTTTCCGCCATTCGCCTGGATCAGTCTGAAAAAAACAATAAGAATTGAATTGTACAATAGTTACCAAAATTCTCAAGCACAATATTCATTTTAAATTAATTCCTAACCACTTCTTTTGACTGCCTACCATTAGAGAAACTTCTAAACTAATTGGCAAGTGCGACAAAGCTAAAATATAACTATGTACAATTTGTAAAGGAAAGTTTTGCTTTAGAGCTAGCCATATACAATTCACAACTCCAACGTTCATAGAAGCTTCTAATAGGATTAGCCAAAAGTTTCGGAGATATCAAATAGAGTACGATGTAATCTTCAATGGGTATAACATAATAGAACATTAGCGGTTGCTTTTCATTAACTTTTGAATTTAATTGTTATTAATATTAAATTTAATGTTTAATTTCTTTTTCAAATAGTATTTAAATATCGATTTGCATCATCTCTTTGTGCTTAAATACTTATACTTATTACAGAAGACTTTTCCCTCATTATCCTAAAAGTCAATATAAACTGTTTTCCCATAAATAATTTTTGGTTCATACTTATGTAGATAAAAATTGTTCAAGTAAGAGTTTGCTTTGTTTGAAATTAGCGAGCCTCTTAATATCTTGGAAAACGAAATTAGTTGCTTAGAATTTCGTTAAGTAAGAGTCAAAGTATGAACTATGTTTCGAAAGATATATTTTTTACTATAATATTTTTTTCTCTTAGTAAAATTAAAGAAGTTACAAGTAAAATTTTAAAGTATTTTTTTATATAAAAATCTTGTATAATATAAAACTTTAGAATTTTTATTGACACAAAGTACCATCGTTAAGAAGTACCAAATTTCTTAATCGGTGACCTATTTCTGACAAAAACAGTAAGTCAACAGAGCTATTGTATTGCACAAATACTTAAACTATAAAGATAACCTAAAATCAAATACGCACTTCATACAAGGTCGACTTTGATATAAATATTGTAATGTTTGAATGATTTTAAATGAATTACCTCATCCTTTATTATGAACCCACAGACCATAGGGGCAATTATGGATATGATGTTTGCAATGAAGTTAGATATTCCCATAAGAGATGAACTGAAGTTTGGTGCCAGGTCAATGAAAATCAACTGGAAGAAAAAAATATTCTTTAAAATACATATTCAGACAAAAAGAAGGTTTAGATATGCAAAATAAATTACAAAATTTAAAATAAATGCAGGATACAAGTAAATTTTTATCAATCAGATATGTAACGATATAAAGGATTTTCGCGTATTTTCATTTAAAAAAAGTAATAGTTTCGCATGTACTATGCGAGTAAAAACGAGTTGTATATTTGAAAATCTTAGTTCTTTAAATCAGATATTATTTTATTTCATATATAATTATGAAAGTATTGTATGTATATAACTGCATTTTTTTATATTCAAGAGCTCTTTTAATATTTCAGCTTACCAGATATCCAGTGTATTGTCCGGCGTTAATACCAACACTGACCGTCAGCATCAATACAGCCAGCCACATATTACCTTCTGGTGAGTAAGATAGACCTATCAGAGCCAAAGCTGGACCCCATAAACCTGTCAAAATTATATTGTTTCATATTTATTTTAACGTTTAGGTTTGCTTTTGGTTCTTTGCTTAGTGTATCTAGAAAGTGTTCGATTTTTTTATTACAAATGATATATATGAAATAAAATACAAACCAATGGAATTGAAAAGTTTCCTTGTATTGGTGACACTGAGCCATTTCCGTCTAATGATGAGATCAGTCATGGTTCCCATGGGGAAACTTAGCACGTACATCGCTAGATACGGTAGAGATGATAGCAATCCGTTCTATAAAATATAACACTCTAATTATAACACTATTCGCAATATTAAACATTACTTCAATTATTTAAAACACCTATAATATTTGAACTCACTTTGGTCAAATTAACATTTAACACTTCTTTCATGTATGTAGGCATTTCTGTCATGAGAGTGAAAAAGCCCCAGTTTTGTCCACAATGAGCAATTACAGCTGCCCAAAAAGGAAGACAGAAGAAGATTTTACCATAAGGTGTCGGATATTTCTGAAAGAGGAAATTACAATAAATTGTTTGAAAGGATTAAAAAAAATCTTGTTATCAGAAAAAGTTACCTTTTGTTCTCCATTTCTTCCAAGTGATGTTTGGATATACTGTCTTTCTTCAGGTGAAATCATTTTAGAAGTTTCCGGTGAAGACGCTCCTAGCCACAAATAAATTACGGTCCATATTGCTCCAAGGCCACCATTAACATAGAAAATTGCCTGCCAGCCCCAAGCGGTTGCTAGGAAACCAGAGGCAATAAGCTGAAGAGCTATCCCAAGTTGGCCACCTGATGAAAAACGTAATCATATTTAAATATAAATGAAATAATATATTAGGTGTCCAACTATGTTTGCCTAGCATTTTTTGTCAGAGTTTTTAAATATATTATATTATACAAACAAATGTGTATTTTAATCGTAGAATTTTGTTAGAATTCATGAAAATAACCGATAATAATCTCATAACAATAATATTTACTATATAATTATATGATGTTAAACAATTAAGGTTATCAAAAGTTCGACTTATATAAAAATATAATAACCGAAAAAAACTTAACCAAGTACTTTATCATAAATTTTTTAATGTTAATTAATCAGAATGTTATCAAAATAAACTTATGTTGGCTCAAAAAGAAGAACTGCGTTTAACATTCAAAAAAAAATCTAATTGAATATTTTACTCTAATAAAAGAGTTCAGGGGTTTAAAGGTGAATGGATTATTCACAAATTGTTATCAGTTAAATATATATCTAAAGGATGTTAATATAAAGAAAACAATAATTTACAAATTTATCTTGGTATCAAATACACCCCAGTTATATGCATGAATGTAAATCATGTGAATCATAAATAATGTTACCAAAAGGATATATTACCCGCATATATAATAGTACTGAGGGTTCCTTTTTCTTCCATAGGTATCCACTGACTCACAAGATGATGCATGCACGGATAAACGAACGCCTGTGTTAATCCTTGCAGCACTCTGCACGCTATGACAAATTGCCAACCACCCTGCAGATATAAAAGAAAATCTAAATCATTTTAAGTACATAAGTAAAACATAAGTATGTATATATAGAGAGTCACAATCGTGATAAGAGGGGTTAGAAAACTAATGCTGTCTAAGATTTTAGAGAGTGCTTATGTAAATGAAAGTAAGCTGTTCTGATACTAAGTGTTTTTTAATATTTAGTAACAACATAATACCAACGTTTAGGTTATTTAGTTTTCAATAGGTATACTTACGATCTTTGCACCGATCGGCATGAATAATGAAAGTAAAGCGTTAACCCCAACTGAAATCGTGATAAGGAATTTTCCACCGAATCGTTTAGCCAACTCTCCCCCTGGTATTTGCAACACAACATATCCCCAGAAGAAAGACGACAGGATCATTGATTGAACGCTGTAACTCCATTCGAAATACTGTAATTGAAAAACTTAGACTTTAGTCAAATAGTAATTAGGATTAATATCATGAATATAAATTATATATTATTATTATTTCGTTTAAAATATACAGTAGATCTTATAACTGATTTAAAATGACAATTTATTAATATTAATAGGTTGTTAAGACGTTTGAAATTATTTATATAGCCGGATTATTTTCAGTATCGTTTCAATAAATCAAACGACCATAATTAATATAACTAAACTATATGTATAAAATATAATGGACATAATCAAGTTTGTAGTTTAATTCATATTATTAAATGTGTCGTTAAATATTTTTTATAATATAAACATTATTAATGGAAATTTTGCCACGATAAGTTATAATCAATATTTACACAATGCTGACCTCTTCTAAAATTAGTTTGTGATAACCTCGGAGATTTAAAATTTAAACTTTGCTCAAATTGATCATTCATATACACATATATGTATATAATTGCATCTCGTGTAATGATAAGGAGTGCGTTTGCTGATAAATAAAATTTTCAAAGTTTTCTTCTTAAAACCCCACGTTAACAAAGTTTTTTTCAGTTTTAAGAATTAATGATTTTATAGATTAGTGTTATGTGTTTGTTTTCACTTTATAATACGAGGCCTTTTAAATACATTGAATCAAAACAAAACGAGTGTGCATTTCAGTTGATTATTCGAATAATTGTTAAAACTTTAAATTTAATAGAAACGTAATTTCTCGTTTATCTTATTATATTAAGGCTACAATAAACTAATAGCTACCAACCTCATCGTTGTCAGAGTTAGTCATATCAACGATAGCCATGCTCATATTAACTCTCATACTAAAAGCCAAGAACATGGCCAGAAACAGAAGAAATGTCTGCGCATGACGGACCCCGAGACCATCTGAAAAAATCATACACAATTTACTATAAAAATAATTATATCTAAAACATTTCTTTAATATCGATTCAAATTATCGAATATTTTTTTATTGATATATATATAATTTAAATTAAAAAATAACTTGGTTAAATTGATTTAAATAATAAAAAGAACTTCTTCTAGCTTTGGAAGCTTTTAAATTTTATGTCGATGGCACAAAAGTCGACACATTCTTTACAACAGTTTCATTACATATTACTATTAGAGAAACAAATCAGGAAATAATGCATGATCTATTAGATAACCTTTCCATACGACATAATACATTGAATATTTACAATTTTGATTCAGTTCAAGTTCCACTTGTTATTGATAATAATGTTTATCTATGACGAGGCGTCTTTTCTATATACATAATAAAATGCGCATTTATAACATAAAAATTTCATAAAATTCCTTGTCGATTTTAATTAACATTTGTTCTATTTGTAATTATTTCATCACATCGATGAAACTTATCATTTCATGACTTTGAGAAATGAACTTCAGAATTGAGTTAAGAAAGCGAACCACTCGTTGACTAAATAATTTTGGCGTTTTAGAACAATAACAATTTAATATTTGGACTATTTTAACATACAAAATAAGCAACATGTTAGAAAATATAATGTAATATATTAAAATAATTGAAACATTTCTTAAAAGTATAATTAATAAAAGCAATATAATCAATTAGAAGTACAATGATCGTTTTAAAAGATATAACAAATAAAAAAATAAATAAAAAAGATCTCACATAAAGAAATGTGTTTTTTATCATACATAGAACTCAATTTGTTTTAAAAATAATTCTAAATTGTTGCTTTTAAAAGCCTGACGATAAATTACGTCTTAAGCTTACTTTAAACTTTGATGTAAAGTATGTTTGGGGACTTTTAAGAGAACAAGTGTTATGTTTTATAGTCAAAGTTGTCAAAATTTATCGTATATAAAAGTTATAACTTTGGACAACTTTGATTTAAGTTTTATCTATTTATAAGATATGTGTTTACTATCTCAACTCTCAATTAAGTAACCTGTCATAAAAACTTGTTTACCTTTGAAATTAGTATTAATGCTAGGAGAGTGAAAAATAATATCTGTATGTAATTCCTTGTGATATAAAATAATCTTTAAACTGTAAAAAACTTATTTGTTTTTTCTAACTTTCATATTGGGAAAACGACAAAGTTGTTTTCTCATTTTAGAGTCTTGTTTCAAATTTAGATCAAATAGTAAGAGAACACTTACTTGGTCTTATATTTTCCGTAATGACACCCATTATTCTTTGACAATATAAATATTATTGTACCATGACAAAGGGGAAAACCACTCGAGAGTAGACTCCGCTATACAGTGCCAAACTCACGGATCTCTTAGTTCTTAGCAAAAGTAGAACATGAAATGAATGGAGTAGGTCACTTACATTTATATTTAGTATGTTTAAGAAATTATTTTTTGCCAATTTGTGTTTAACTTTTTGGCCTTTTCTTCTATGAGCTTTACTTTATACTTTGAGCACTTATTTAATTTATTTAAGAGGGTAAAGTAAGTTAATAGTCCGCATTTTAAACATCTTTTTAGTTACGCTTTGTAGTCCTTACAGGTTTTCATTAAATTTTTGGAGGTCCCCTCAGTTTCCATAATATAAATATTTAGTTTAACTGCTAACTTCCTCCCACTTGAAGTCACTTAAAAAGTAGCGTAATAAAGTTTCTTTTGACCTTAGATATCTACAACTTAAATCCTATCAAATTTGTCCAGCTGTTCTAGAGATTAGTTGGAACGAAAAGACAGACAGACAGTCATTGTTTTATATTGCATTTTTAATGTAGGTAATTTTATCAATTAGTTTTTAGTACATAAATTATTATTTCCTTCATTTTGGTTCTAAAAATGATATTTTGTTTAATGCTCTCAAAACTAAAAATTTATTACAGATACCAATATTTATAACATATGTAAGCTTTTCAGAGAATGTACTTTGACATTAAATGAAAGCAGAAAAAAATCTTTTTTTCGGTTTGCTACATTCTGCCTTTTCAATATCTCACTACCAACAGGTAAATTAACAAATTTATCATAGTTCAGCCCTTTCATTGTTGACGTGTAATAATAAAAACTACTCACCCGCAGCCGTTGATACGAGAAACATCGTGTGTAGAAAGAATAACTTAATTGACATTTCATTGTCATTGTCATAAATGTGCACATGCATAAAATAAATTCTTCATCAATTAAAGATAACTGATTATAGATTCAGTTGTAATAACGTATAAAAATGTAATGGATGTACATATTTACTTAATGACATGGTGCAATTACTTACCAATATAAATATCCAAGACAAAGTTAGTTGCATGTTGAATAACACCTTAAAAAAAGAAACAAAATAAAAGTCTGGTACAAAAATAGGCATATCCCCAAAATATGTTCCCTATTTTTTTACGTTATTTTTTGTGTTGTATTAATTTACTTTATCGCTAAACTTTGAATAATAATATTATTTAATTTTATATTACAGATTTGTTGTATAAGTTATTGGGATTAAAAAACACTGTTTTCGTTAATAAAGTAAGTTCCTCAAATAAATTACCCAAATCAGTATTTTATGTTAAGGATCATTGTATCACTGATACAAATTCCAATTATCTCTTCATTTTTATTTACATCGAATAACAATAATCCAAGAAATGTATATTTTATTTTAAATATTTTGTTGAACCATGAGCATGAATCCATCAAGTATTTCCTATTAAACATCGCTACAAGACTTGGCGATCCACATTAAAAAATGCAAAATTTTGTTTTGCAACCTATTTTGTCCCCTATGCAAACAAAATATAAGACTGCTTTTAATTTAAAATAAGTAGTATTCCCTATCCTCCATTGTTTTAAGGCTTCAAAATTTCTTATACCTATAAAATTACTTTTTATAGTAAGTGAAATAATTTTAATTAATTAAATTGAAAGGTTTAAAATTACAGTTTCTTAATAATCTCTCCCACGCCTCAATTATTTTAACCTATGATGATCATCTGTTCCTATTTACGGAGGGGTATTTTTATAATGTTATTAAAATTTAACTATATCAAAATATTCACTGAAAAGCGACTCCATTCCCTCTTTATTCCAAGACGATTTTATAATGCTTAACAATGTGAAGTTATCGGAAATTGAAAACATCTACAAATTTGTATGAATTATTGTTGTCAAATTTATGAGATAACATATTATCGATGCCCAGAATTAAAGTAATCTTGACAAGAGAGATAAAATTTAAAATCGACCTCCTGGATACCTCTCAATTGTTACGAGTTTAAAACGCTAAATATATAATATATGAATTTAATTAAATACTACATTTTATAAATTCAAATCAATGATATGAATTCGTATTATATAAACACTGCAACTAGTTTTTCCTTAGGTTTCAATCAAAGTACATTGTTTGTGATTAGTATCAGTAGGGAAACTTCAGCGACACACCCCTCAGCTAAACGTTTATTGTCTCGTGATAAACTGATTAACTTTGTTGTTTAAAACGAAACGAAACTTTTCAGCATTCCCTAGACTCATCCTGCGGTTCCATTGCGTTGTAGGGAGCATCAACAGTGCCTGGGACTTGCGACCCAGGTGTAGGTCTAAGGGGCCTCTATCTAGATATCTTCTTCTACCTGGCAATTTCCCAGCTATGGCCAGGGTCTGCCTTACATGTTGTGAATAGTTTTTTGGTTATTTGTTTTTACGAACGGCCCGCCTGCCTGACATCAACCCTCTTTTGGGAATCAACATTAATCAGTGATGTCTAAATACTCTTAGAAAGTACATATGATTCGGAAAAATCACATTGGTACTTGCCCGGGCCAGGATCGAACCCGCGCCCTCGGCGACGAGAGGCGGGCCTTTTAACCACTGAGCCACCTGACTGACTTAAAATGCCTCTATCTAGATATATGTATAGTCTCATAAAGGAAGGGAGAGGAATAGGTGTTTAAGTGCTATTTTGAATAACATTATTGAACAAATATCACATAGAAGGTATAATATTTGTGTAATCACAAACATTAAGACATTAACCACAAGAAAATTTCCTTTTATTAACATCACTTAACAGAACTAAATAACTACCCAAACTAAAACTCAGAAGTATAAGGAAAAATTCTGTACTATGTAACAAGCTTTACAATATCTTGAATATCATGTAAGGTAACCTAATCTATCAATTATGATACAGACTGGCCGAACAGTTATTAATAAAGATTATAATGTCAATAACCTTTTGGTTTTGAAATGACTTTCTTAGAATAAAGGTGATAAAATAAATTGTTTCGCACACTCGTTTTATTTTAATGAGTTTCATGCATTTAATGAGAATTGAGATTATGTTCTGTTATCATAAGGTCGAGGTTAAGTTGGAAATAAATTATGGAGGTTATGTTTATTTAAAAACTTATATAACTGTCCCTGAAAAATAAAGTTTACTTAAGCACAAAAAACACTCTTCTAGTACATGAAATAAATAAGGATTTACATTAAGAAAGAAACGTTAGATTTGTTAGTCGATTGACATTTATGTATCACTTTTTCTTTTATAAATTACTACGAATGAATTAATTAGAACGGATTAACACTTTCAATGTAGTAAAGTACTATATATTAATAATCATATTCAAAGAAATACTGGAGAGAGATGACATTTATTGATTTTGTTTTAATGAAACAAAAGGTTACTGTTAACAATTAGTTAAAATAGTGTCATAACGGGAATTGACATTGAAGCAGAATACTGCCTTTTAAAATGCTGGTAACAAGGTCATAAGGTTTTTGAGTAATTTTCACTATTTTATTACATTACATTACGAATTTACGACTCGTTTTAAACATCTTCTCTTTGTAACTATAGATATTTGGTCATCTTATTTCTATATCATAGAATTACTGGGATTTTCAATTGCATTAAAAAATAATGGGATTATGCACGCATCTAAGTCTTGCAAAATCCTTCACTCCTTTCACAAACAACAACCTATTATAAAAGTTTGGAATTTATTTTCCATTTTCTTTGTTGTGCTAAAAACCTCAAATTCAACTTAATAAACCAGCGTATAACTTGTAGTTTTGTTTTTCGTCTATCCAAACATTCCTATTGTTTTATACTGCATTGCTTTATAAGCTAATCTTTCAAAGTAAACGCATCTGAACTTTAGATATTCTTCCCAATTCGATTCAGCATGATTCGAATAAGCAAATATTCTAAAGACGTATACGTAAATTTGTCGTTGAATATTTTAGTTTTAAATGTACGTATTTCTAGTACAAACTTAAGTATGAATAAATGTATTTGACTTTGAGAGGTTTGCCTTCAACTTGGAAACGAAACTTTTATCAACATTGGTATGATTTTTATTCATTAATTCTTTCGAGATAACAACGTTCGGTCGAGGATGTTTAACATAACTGTAATAATTTAAGTCAGTCGTTAATCAATTGTTATATCAATCAGTTATCCTTCTTATAATTATTTTAAATTAAAGATAATATTAATTTCAATAAATTATAATTTATGTTTAAGATGATATTATTATCATACAGATTGATATAAGATATAATCCTATTCATAAAAATTAATAATAAGACCGGTCTTGTTTAAGTTAAACATAATTATCTAAAGAATATTTTTTTAACACTGTCAGAGTAAGGGATGCGTGGAAGAAGATAAATATCATGCAAACGAGAATAAAAAGGCGGTTGGTAAAGAGATTATTTTTGAAAGTGACCGTTCCAGCGACAACAATTGCTAAACTTTTATGTGTATGCACAACTTACAATTACTGCATAACTTTTTTGTGCTTTTTTGATTTTTTTATACAAGTATGTGTGTACGGAGATGAAACTTCTCAGCATTCCATTTATATCACTGTGCGAGTGCCATGCCGGGTCTATCGCGAGTTATTATTAGTCGATTAATTTCATAATATTATATTTTTAATGTCTTAGAATATTATTTATTACATTATAAATTATAATAACGACGACCACTTTATTTTATTATCAAGCATTTTTTGTTTTCCTGTTTCTTTATTTTTCTGTCATTTTTTTACGTATATAACTTGCAAACTGTCTTGGTACAGAACAAAAAATAAGTATATAATTTGCCAAACCAGTGATAAGTAATCTGCAAACATATCTTTGATCGATACATAAAGTTATTTAAATATAAATGTTTTTGCATAATCCGTCTAACTTTTACTATATAAAATAATGATACACATCATTGTAAATATGTGAAATATTCGAGGATTCAGAAAATATTTTAACGCAGACATACACACAGATACAAATATATAAATATACTTTTACTGTTAAACAGGTTTATTTTAATACTGAAGAAGTCGAGATACATAAAAATTGTATAATAATTTTATAACATTATAACTTGAGTCTTGAGGCGATAAACAATATAGATTAGTTCATTTTAACTAATTGGCAGTACATCGAGCCAATTAATCCTTGCTACCCTGTGGCCAAGACCAAAAATTATGTCTAGAGATTTCAAACTAAGATTTGATATCAGAACATAATTGATTGCTTTGGCTCTCTAGGTAATAAATTGGGGTCATTTAAGTAAATACATAGTAAAACATCATTAGTGTGAAAGTGATGAAGAAAACTGCCTAGTTAATTTAAAGTCTTCCCTTACTGTACAATGTCAAAATAATAAGGGATCACAGTGTTAATAGTAAAGCCATGATTTCACAAATATAAATATTTATTGACTGTTTCATAAATGCTTATTATCTATTAATAAATATTATTACATAACACATAATTGACTAGTTAGTTAACTCAATTTTTATTTTTTTCGCCGTCTTTAGATTCATCCACTTCATTCCACTTTTGTCTTTTCGAGGATCCAAAAACGACAAAGAATGTGTTGCAAACAATGTAGATAGCTGATGAAAGGTAAAACACTTTCCTCCATTCCTGGGCATCAGTCTGAAAAAAACAACATTCATATATGTATATATTGAGAAGATCTTAATATCGGTGCATGTAATTTGTTTTCACTAACAACCACTAATTAATAAACCCTTCTATTTGATGAAGGTAAATATTAAAAATTAAGTAATATCTTATATATATAATTACTTTAAAAATCTTTAATATTTTTAATAAAAGAACTATTATCTCACCTCGTCATTCAACAAAACACCAGCAACAAGCGGTGCAATTATAGATATGACATTAGCTATTGCATTTGTTATACCCATCATCGTTCCAGCAAAATTTGGAGCCATATCAATATGAACCAGCTAAAAAATGTATTTAAATTAGTCATGATGACGTCATTTATTTTACCGAAGAACATTTTAACAGTGACAAGATAAAATTAGGCGTAAAATATTTTCCGCAAGTTCCCAAACAATTTTAATCTCAATTTTCCTAATTTATTTTTGATTTCGTAACATTCTTTATCACACAGTATTTGTATATAATTTTAATACCAAATATCCAGTGTAGTGGCCGGCGTTGAGTCCTACGACTACTGTTAGTACGGCGACAGCGATGGCCACATTACCAGCAGGCACATACGAGAGACCGATAAGAGCAATAGCAGGGCCGTAATGTCCTGAAAAATTATTAAATCATTACAAATGTATTTCCACATATACATATCTACACTACGATCCAGAATTACATTTTTTTTTGGTATGAAAATTCAAATGGAAATACAGTTAGGTCAGATTTAGCAACCATTTATTTTCTTACAACAACACCATAACAACTTTTCATTCGTAAAAAGGGAAGTGCGTCAAGTTATAGTGTCTATTACAGTTGTTGTTCTTACAAAATTTTATGAGTCATAATTAAATGTTATTTTTTGGTCACCGAAACAAAGTTTACAGAAGTCAAGAAACGACGGTCAAGAAATTTGTTGGAAATATGACATAAAACAGCAAACATTTCGAGGTGTAAATAGTAAATCAACTTTGGTTGCCAATATAAATAGAGATTCAAAGAAAATAACTAAAGGGTGCACGTGAGGTTTGATCAATAATATTTTGAGTAATAATCAAAAACATACCAAGAGAATTAGAGAGCTTCCTACTAGCAGTGACGCTCAACCAATTCTTCTTAAGTACGTAGTCTGAGAGGAAACCTAATGGGAAGCTTAATAAATACATGGCAAGATACGGCAAAGCGGACATTACTCCATTCTGAAATAACCAATGTACACTCTTAAATTATCCAACAGCATTATTTAAATACCACAAATTAAATACGTCAACATACCGCTTTAATGTCCACTCCCAAAACTTGTTTCATGTAAGAGGGTATCTCAGTCATTAGGGTCCAGAAACCCCAATTTTGTCCACAATGTGCTATGATGAGCGATATGAACGACAGTGATGTAAATATCGATTTCCAAGGAGTTGACAATTTCTGAAAATATTTTATTGTAATGTATTAAATTGAAATTAAAAAATGTTCTATATTAAAAAAATAGAATAGGAAAGTTTCATATTTGTTCATTTCTAATTGCTTCCTAAATATTTTCAAGGTAAGAACAAATATTTTGTTAAATATTGATATAATTTTAGAGTAATATATAGTTTTTCAAACGACATTAAAAAAGGAAAAGGTGAACATCAATTCGCCTGATTTTTTTTGTTTGTACCTAATAACTTTGGATTTGGTCAATGATTATTTTTTCAATTCAACGATTTCAATGATTAATTATTTTTATTAAAAAGCTGGTGCTTCGCGTTTGCTTTACTATTAAGCATGTTTGCGAGTAATGAACGAGTGACTTCAACGCCAAGCGAAAAATACTTAAAATGACTAGGCTTACTTAACATACCGTGATATAACACAAACACATTAAGAATGGCATTACTTAAAGTGTATTATGTTTGACCTTCATTATGGAAAGACAGATTTTATATTCTTGTTATTAAACCACTTAAAAAGAAACCTTTTTCTATATGCAAATTACATATACATAATCTTATACGATCTTTTAATTTTTATATACATTTTTTAAATAAACTTCTCTATTAAATGAATCAGTTATTTTTACGTTACATATACGTTTATTATGTTGTATATATTTTTGTTACCTTATTTGCACCTCCAACATGTCCGAGAGAGCTTTCGATGTACATTCTTTCTTCAGCACTGATCATTTTTGAACTACTCGGTGTAGCGGCACCCAGGAAAATATAAGCAACAGTCCATATTACACCAACAACACCATTTGCATAAAATATTGACGGCCATCCCCAGTAATCAGCGAGAAATCCTGATATCATTAACTGTATAGCTGTTCCTAGTTGCGCACCTGATTTAATATATTTATTTTTTATCATAGATACAATGAAATGAATAATATTTTAGAAATGTGCTATTAAAATAAATTAGCTTTAATTAGGTGGGGAAAAGACAATAATTGCAAATTAAACTTGGTGATGTCATGAATAATAGATCATGTGGTTTGGTTCTTGGGCGTCTGACTTAACATGATTGATTGTTGTGTTGTGTTCTATGTGATTTATATGTTAATATGTTGACATAAATATTCAATAGGAATAGATGAACCACTTAAAGTTATGTTATAAATATAGAATAATAGCACATTGTGAGAGCAGCATTTAAAACATACCAGCGTATATTAAGGTTCCTAATCTGCTTTTCTCCTCCAGAGGAACCCATTTCCCTATCAAGTGATGGATTGAAGGGAAAATGAAGCCTTGAGACAATCCTTGTACAACTCGACAAGCGCATACCAGTTGCCAGCCTCCCTACAAGAAATATTTGTTAATTTATTAATAATTATTATATCATATTTTATTTTCAAATGAATTATATTTTAATTTCAAAATTCTACCCTCGGTTTTACTCTCGTTATATCTAATTCTTTATTTTAATTTTTCTTTATTAATAGGTTACGTGTATGAATATGCTTCTATGGGCTTTCAACTTTTGTGTTTTCAATATTATTATCAAGCTAAACTAATTCTTATTTATTTACAATCATCATACAAGCAGGCTTAATAGAAAATTATGGTTAACTTTCTTGCTTTTTTATGTTAATACAACTCACACAACAAACTACAATACGTGTATGTTTCCGTATACTTACATAGTAAGCTCCTATGGGTAAAATCAATGAAACAGCAGAATTGATACCGACACACAGAGTTATTAGAATCATTCCGCCGAATTTGGCAGCCATTTCACCACCTGGTACTTGCAATACAATGTAACCCCAGAAGAATGATGACAGAATTACACTCTGAGTCTGAATGCTCCAATCAAAAGCCTGTAAGCATTTTAGTAATTGGAAGATAAATTATCATGTTTGTGACATTCTGTTATATTATTGTGTGTGAATATAATGGGTTGCCCTGTTAGTCATATATAATATCAATATATGATTATCAGAATCTTAGTGACATCGTCAAACAAGGCCACCGAGTCTTCTGTTCACGGTTCAATTTACTTTAAGATTATTTTTGAGATTTAAGACTTTCGCGAGTATTCATTTAAATGAAACTAATAGTTTTATGATTGCTTCATATATTTTATTACACTATAAAACGGGCAGTCGAGATGTTCACATCTCGTAATCACGGTTGCTGAAGAGTACAGGAGTATGTTATTTTTATAAATAATAAAGTACTCGTAGTAGTCCGAAAAATATTAGTTTCATTTAAGATTATCATTTTTGTTTGAAATATCTCAGGTGTTACGAGCGTATTCCTGTCCTTTTACATCAAAGATTTAAGATGATCTCTAGTATCAGATTTGTAAACACAATAAACGAAAAGGTAAAAAGAAATTTTACTCGGACACCGACTATTAAAAAACCTGAACATACAAGATTCCATGGTAAAATATTTTGCATAAATATAAATTTATTTTATTTTGTTGTAAAGTATAATAAATGACATACGAATTACTTATAGATTGCACTAAATAAGGTCTTGGATGTACTTATATAAATTGTTTAAAGATGCCTTGCATCTATTGGTATTTTAAATATGTTTCTCTTAATACAATAAATATCCATCATCTTATTGTAATCTAGACACCGTTGAGACAAAATTTATCTATACGATAGTTGATGAACATCAAAAATTCTGTTTCCTTACATTTCTTACTATATAGGAACACATAGTCAATCAGCATGTATATCAGTAATAATCATTTTGAATATCAAATCAACATGACAGTATTATCTCAAGAATTGTTTTAGCATAACCAAGTATTTTGATATCCCCATACGAATAGAATCTTATCGCTTCATCTTTAAAATGATATTCTATATCTCGGAGATGAAATAGTCTAATCTAACTAAAATATTGAAGGTGATTCAACTATCAAAAGTTTTTGTACTATTATACTTACATCTTCGGTGTCCTTGTCAGTCATAGCGACTATAGCCATACTAATATTCACTCTCATCGCAAATGCCAGTAAAAGTGCCAGAAATAACATTAAAGCTTGTAGGTGTCTAATGCCAAGTAGTGAATCTGGAACAAGGAAACGTCATTGAAAACGCCATTTAGAAAAGAGATAAATATGTAGCTGACGGATGATCTTAAATTTAAAAAAATAATGTTTTTTATAGCAAGATCATTGATTTAATCAAAACAATCATCAATAAACAACTCATTTTATGAATAATTTATTTCAATTTCAGCTTCAATTTTTTTTTTATTTACAAATGTCATGTTCTTTGTAAGACCTCATAATATAATAATATCACATTTATTATTACTCAGTTCATGGCGTGTAAGTTGCTTGTTATGTGATACAGGAAAATGTATCTATGAATATAAAACAAGCAGAGACCGTGACGTAGATGTTGTTATAGGGAAAAAACTGTAAACAAAACCTCACTGTCTTATTACATTTAATAAAAATAAAATTAATATTTGTTGGAATTTAAATACTATGTTTCTCTTTTTAACCGATACCCTTAGTCTAAATTTTGCATCGTCACATTTAGAAACCTTCATTAATTATATAATGTATATAATGTGGTAAGATTTACCAATAAAAAATCAACGCTCCTTAAGTAACGATTGCTTGGACTAAGCATATTGATCATAAAGATTATTGTGTTGTATTTTCCTTGTTCAATTATTTAAAGACTCATGTGTTATAATTTATATAAATTAAAACTGCTAACTGCTAAGTTTTCCAGTTGTCCTATGATTACAAGTAACATTCCACAACGGTAATAAATTCTTTTGAACTATTCATTATCATTTTATTGAATAAAGATGGTAAAGTTAATGAGATCAATGGTAAATCACACTACCACCCTGTACAGTTAGCTACCGTTGGTAAATCTTTGTTACAGAGAGCACAACACCTTTGTGATGCTGACCACCTAGAGGCCGAGCTGCAGCATGTTAGACGTGCTCTGACCATCAACAGCCTGCCCGTGCCTCGCCAGCATCGCAAGAACCAGACGAAGCCACCTACAGTCGAGCGACAACCTGCAATTCTACCATATGTGAAGGGAGTTACTGACAGAATAGGCAACATCTTGAAGAAGGTTTCAATTAAGACTATTTATAAACCACATAAGAAAGTGAGCCAATTCTTGAGACCAATCAAGAGTAACATTCCTTTATAACAAGCGGGTGTATATAAACTTGATTGTGACTGTGGCTTGTCATACATCGGACAGACAAAGAGAAGCATCGGTACAAGGTTTAAGGAACATATTTCAGACGTCAGGAATAGGCGCGCGTCGAAGTCAGCAGTGTGCGAACATGCATTGGACAAACCAGGCCATTACATTAGATTTGATCAACCACATATCCTCGCTCGTGAAGACAGATATATACCAAGGTTAATCCGCGAGGCTATTGAAATTAAAAACACCCTAATTTCAATAGAGAAGATGGCTGGAAACTATCAAACACCTGGGATCCTCTTCTTAAAAATATAAAATCCCATGTCCGTGACCACACCGCAGGACCTCGAGACACCGTGAGCGCATTTTGCCGGCATCCAGAGCGGTACGCAAGACAATTAAGAAATCGATGGCGGTAGGAGATAAAATGACCAGACCAACTGACAGACACTCACATCTCGTCTGCCCGTGATCACGGTTGCTGAAAAGTAGCCGAAACGTCGGGAGTATGTAGTTTCTAAAATAAAACGCGAAGTAAAATCCGAAAATATTAGTTTCATTTAAATGGTAAAGTTACTCTGTGAATTATTTAATATATTCTTATAAAAAAAAATACATTTCTCTTTTTTTCATGTCCTTCTATTTGTTGCACTAAATATTTTGTTGTAGTGGTAGGTTCAACAAATAGTTATTGATAAAATAATACTATAGGAGTAGTATTATTCTATGTGGTGTTGTTTTACTCTATAACATTCGAAAATTCATTACCGTAGTTTCAGATTTAAATTTAAAGACAGTGAGTTCAGCATTTTCAAAAAAAAAATTTTTGCCTTTTAAAATAAAATTGACTCATTCCCTCTTGTTACTTTGTCTACAATAAAAACGCATAGGTATGTTAGAAGTTATTTCGCTATTGACAAAATTATTTTATTAATATTCTTCTTAAGCAAGGAATTTAATATCTCACCGAGTATTGTAAATTAAAATAAAATATTTTGTGTTGATTTTACATTAATTATTTTAATAAATAGATAAAAATTGGTGTCGTTGAAACAGTTCTAATGAATTTAATAGCCATTATTTTATCACAGAGCATCAAGGCCAAAAAAAGAATGTAATGTTTCTTTACTTGCTTGTAAATTGATACATTATAATTTACTGCCTGAAATAGGGTTGGCTGGTTTGGGAATAGTTAGTCTAATTCCTCTCTTTGGCAATAAGTTATGTTTAAAACATCAATAATATTTAAAGCTTTAAAAACTTAAAAATGATCTAATTATAAAATCTAAGAAGTTTTGATCCAACTCAATAGCCAAATATGTATATTCTTTGTAAAGTTTCGGCTGCACTAATGTTGGGGGATTATTAATAATTAAAAACTAATGACAAGTTATAAGTTTTAAAAGATATAAAAGTAATGAAAAAAGAAACAACCAATTTAGTTTAAAATTTGTAACGTTAAATTTGATGCAAAGTTTTCAAAACTTTCGATTGTGACAATCTCGTGCATTATAAAGTTATATTAGCCTTGTACATCTTCTATCTTTTAATTGTCTTCAAAAATACTTTTAATATATTTGAGACTTTAGTATATTTATTCTTAACAATTTCTCACACATAATTAAACTATACAGGCATTTGTATAATATTTTTTTTACAATTGAAAGTCCTAAATGAAAAATAATTTAAGAGAAACTTTATATTTAGTTTTAAAGTAAACTACGTAAATATGTACACACATATGTATTCGTATTGAATAATTGAATAAATTGTTACTCTAAATTAAGAAGGATTTGTTTTATATAATTAAACTATTTTTTTATAAAATCTGTCATTAATTGATGTTTTAGGTTCGTGTGTACTATGAGTGAGATGTCACTATTCATAACTTATAATCCCAAATAATAAATCAATCATTCAATAACTTAATTTTCACTCGATTTATAATTACCGTTTTAGCTTTCTTCACGTTTTACTTTTCACTCAATATTTAGTTTGTTCATACAATATATAAATGTAATAAGAATAATATATAATATTATACATAATTAATGTTTGTGAGATCAAAAGCAAATTTTACAAATTAAAACTTAGAAGTCGGTCTTTAATGACTAATATTTTTTATAGAATTTCTGACAAAGAAGAAGGCTGTTACGAGAAGTTTTATATCGATTGCCTAAAAACGATTACGGCTAAAAGAGAACACAACCATAACAAAAGGCATTGAAGGTAACCCTGACATAACAATTTCCTATATTAATTGATTTTTATTTAATATAAAAAATATATCAATATTTATTATATATAACCCAACAGGTTGCATTATTTTTTCTATTAGCAAAGACTGTTTTATTTTTTGTCATACATTTTTCAAATTTTATTGTTTTTATAATTTTTTACTATTATAATTAGTATACATTACTCACTTGGCTTTTTAATCGGAACATCACTTTTAACTTCCATGGTGAATGAAACTACACTTGAGCTATATTCGTTTGATTCGTAATTTTAATATGTTTATGTTTTTATGTTTTATTTCATTATATCTAATAGCAGGCACTTCACTCCGTCGACTAAGCAAAACTCTTGTTTTTTTAGTTATACCGACGAGGTGCGAAGTTTTATCAGTCATGGTCATAAGCCGCGTGAACAAGACATTCGTTTATTTGTTAAGCAATTTTAAACTTGTTCTCTATACAATAAAACAGGAAAGTATTGGACGAAATCGACTCTATGAATATTAAAGTTCTGTGAAAGATGACCAACGCTTTTTATTTTCTTGAAGGACAGGTCAAGATAATTTAAATAGAAAATAGAATTTTAAAAGAAAAATATAATAATAGAAAGATTTTATAATAAAAATAGATTTAAAGTAAGTTTCTCAAGGCTTTTGTAGACAACGGTATAATAGTTATATCACTGTTCCCTTCATTTGTGGGCATAATATCTCTTACAACACAAAACAAATTGTTGAATTGACAAACGTTTATGATTTCGAATTGGTATAGCAATTTTTATTTGGACGCTCATGTACATGTTATTTTTGTCATCACATTAAATTGATTAACTAGTTCAGTCATTCAGCTTATCATCAGCCTATGAAAGCCCACTGCTGAACCAAGGCCTCTTCTCACATGGAAAAGTTAAGAGCATTTATCACCATACTTGCTCAAGATGAGTTGGTGATTTCAAACTTATTTACACACCATTTTATTCAATTTTTAACTTATATTAATATATATTTAAATAAATTTTATGAATTAGTGGAATACCACAGTGTAATTAACAAATTAATTATATTTAATTACATACATTCATCGTCACCAGACTCACATTCTGAGGTTTAATGATGACCCAAACCTATTAACAACTAGAGGCTTTCAGTATCCCTAACTTTAAACAAAGGAACATTACTTGGAACAAATGACATGTAGATGATTTAAAGCAATAACGCGGCAAAGGCAATCACAAGCACATTAATAGTCATTTGTGCGGATGTTGTGTATAAATCAAGCCGTACCTAATGACTGCAAAATTTTATGACAAAACAGTTCAATACAATATAGATTTATTATATAATAAAACTTGCAAGTACTAAAACTGTATATTGTTTTCCTTCTTATTGCTTATGAATAAAGTTAAGGTAATATTATAAGATCGAAATGGAAAACTAAGAGTGTCTGAAATAATAATTATATAATCGAAAATTAAAAATAATTTCACATGTTGTTCAATGAATTTTGTTTATTCCTTGAGACGAATCCTTGAGTAATAAAGGTTTGTCTTGTATTTCATTACTGTCAGAATAATACAAACTGAATGTTTAATATTTAAACCATCACAGTTTTATATTTAGTAACTTTTTAATATATGATTAATTAATTTGGTTTAACATATGACAAATCACCCATAAAAAGATATTTCAATAATCAGTTTAGTACCTATTTCTATTTCTAATTAACTAATAAAAATCACAGTCGTTTATATAAGAAGAAATATTTTGTAATAATAATTATTATTTATTATCATAAATACATTGTTTATTAACGGAGATTACTGATGGGTAAAGAAAAGATAAGTATGGGTTACTTAATGTTTGGCTAACATTAGCTTTATGAGCATGTCGTTACGAACTGAAGAACTGCTTTATCGACAAACGATTCAGATAAATCTTAAAACACTATCACCTAGTTGTTGGAGTGTAAGTAGCTTTCATATTCTAGTTTTCTCCTCAGTTTTTGTTTCTTCAACTTTATTCCACGTTTGTTCCTCACATGATCCGAAAATATTAAAAATTGTGTTTCCGATGATGTAAATAGCTGATGATAGATAGAATACTTTTCGCCATTCGCTCGGATTATTCTGGAACAAATTAAGAGAAAAACAAAATCTTCAAAAAGGCTATCATAAGATTTGATGATTCCGTTTTTTTGGTCACTTAAATATCTCAATAAAAATAAAAATCCCACTAAAATTTTAGCGTCTGAATAAATTATCAAATCTGAGTGTTAACTGGATTAATTTTTTGTTTTTTAATAGCAGTTTAAAATTATTTTTAGGTTCGGTCTACGGTCAAACAAAGATTAAAAGAAAGCTTTATTTCTTATATATTATTTAAAAATATAACAGTATCTAAAATATCATATCCTATTTAATTATCTTTAAAATATAAGATGAAATACGCATACATGAACAGGATTTGAAACTACAAAACCCAAAATGATTGTTTCCAATTGCTTTTGTAGTGTATCCAAAGTCCTTATAACAGACTTTTTCTTAATTGGGAGTAAGGAAAAATAACAAAAATTATTATTTTACTTCAGTATAAATATTATGATTACCTCATCGCTGATAATAGCTCCAGCCACAAGAGGAGCCACAATAGATATTGCGTTCGAAATACTGTTGGTGATACCCATCAATGTACCAGCAAAATTTGGAGCCATGTCTATGTGGGCCAACTAAAAAAATAATAAAACAATTGAAAATGTAAACCCACCATCGATTTCAAGGTTAGTCGTGTTAAGTTAATGATGATAAACATGCACGAATGGTATTAATAGTAATGAGTAGCTAAAATCTATACCAACTTATTTAACAAGAAGAAAATGATTTGAGCAAGAGAAGCATAAACTTTCTTTTTATAAAAAGAATACCGAGGGCTCGCTGTGAAGCTGGTGGTAAGCAGACACCATAAGATACTCGTATAATTAGATTTGGTGTTGTCTTAAAATCTAGATGAACGTAGGAAAAAAAACAATAAGGAATACCAAAAACCCAGTAAAGTGACCGGCATTCAGCGCCACGACTATAGTCAATGTTAGAACAGCCAAGGTCACGTCGCCAGCCGGGACGTAGGAGAGACCAATCAGAGCCAGGGCAGGACCATATAGACCTGAAATCATAAGTTGTTTATTAAAATAATTAACAATTATTACATAACCACTCTTTTCTGAAAACAGTAGAAGAAAAGCATACATCTTTTGATTTATTATCTTTTGATTTTATATTTATCTTTTATTATTATCTTTTGATTTTATAAAATAAAAATGTATAATTGTGATTAATAAAAATTATGTTTATAAATTGTAAAAAGTACCTATAGAGTTGAAGATTTTTCTGCTGGTTGTTATACTGAGCCATTTCTTCTTTATGACAAAATCGGAGAGAAAAGCCATCGGGAAGCTCAATAAGTACATCGCAATATATGGCAAGGCAGACATTAGTCCATTCTGGAAATAAAAGAAATAGATGGTGTTTAATGTATGTAAGCAGAAAATCTTAATCAAGTCCCGAGATAACAATGCTAAGATCTAATTAAAATTTGGGTAAAGACACCTTCAACTCTGAGGCGGGATATAAAATTTTTTCAACGTAGTTTACGTTTTTATAAAAAAAGAACATATTTTTATTCACCCTATATATTTTCTTTCTCTTTTATTTTCAAATATTTCAAAACAGGTTAAGCCCCAACGAAATTTTTCCGGAGTATACACTAATATCAACAGATTTATATATAGGTATGTATACATAAGTTTAATGTCACAAGGTCATAAGAGCAATCGGTGATCTCAAATAAACCGAGAACACAATATATTTTAAATACTAGTTGTATAGTGGAAGCTCTCACTTTAGGGACTAATAATATTTGGTTATATTAACATATAGTTATTAAAGAAAAATACTTTTATGTCTTCGTGTTATCGCAACTAATAATATTAAATTATAACAAATACATGCAACTAAAATTATCGGCTAACAATAACTTGACTTATCTTTAAAACACACAAGAAATATTTCTATGGATAATGAATAGTTTACAACGAGAGTTTTAAAATTACAAAATTCTTACCTCACCGTAATATTTGATAACGCGACACGTTATATTTTTAACTTAAAATAATAATATATTTCGAATGAAGGTGTTATTTGATTAGAATCATATCATAGCAAAAATATAACACATACTCAAACATAAAATGTAACTTATAAGTAACTTTATTACTTGTATCTTTGTTTAATAACAAAATAAGATAGAGATTTAAATTTAATATAACGTAATTAGTTAATGAAGTGACAACAAATAAACGGTAATATAAAACACTGATGAATTTATTTTAAACGCAGTAATGCGAATTTTAGATCTCAAAAATTACGTTCCTTTACCTTATATTTCATAAACATACCGCTTTAATGTCTACGCCCAAAACTTGTTTCATGTAAGAGGGTATCTCAGTCATTAGGGTCCAGAAGCCCCAATTTTGTCCACAATGTGTTAAGATAAGCGAAATAAAAGGCAGAGATGTGAAGATCGCTTTCCAGGGAGTCGGCATTTTCTGGAATAGGAACAGACTACAATATTTTTTTAACCCAATAAGTAAATGTCATTTTATTTTTATATATCGTGTCATAAAAATTTATATAAATATTATCACCAGTACTTCCTATTTACTTACAAGTTACTATTGTTTAATGATTACCTTTTGCGCACTGCCAACATGACCCAATGAGCTCTGAATATACAGACGTTCATTGACCCCAATTATTTTTGAATTTCTAGGAGAATCAGAGCCAAGACAAACATAAAAAGCGACCCAAATCGCTCCAAGGCCCCCATTAACATAGAAAATCGCAGGCCATCCCCAGTAATCAGCAACAAAGCCAGATACTATAAGTTGAAATGCTGTTCCCAACTGGGTGCCTGAAAAATAATTTAAAATAGCCGTTAAATTATATTCATAATGAATTTTGATAATAACTTCCGAAAACAATCAAAATCCAAAATAGTTAATTACTTATATAATTAAACTAGAAAGGTTAATCCGGGTCAGTTTCGTAAAACATTAATTATCCTTTAAAATTAGAACTACATTAAATAGTTTCATGAATTACTGATACGAGTTTAGATATGGGTTAAAAGTGATTAGTTCACAGGCTAGTTTGGATTTGGATAAATTGAAATTTATATATGTCACTGGCATTTATTAAAAAAATCCTACTACCGACAGTTCTTTTATGAGGACATACATTTTAAATTGACATACAAAACATTGCCAGTCTTTGTAGAAATAAATTACAGCTGTGAATTTTTTTATATTCCAACAAGATTTATGTTGAAATTTATTTATAACAATTAAATAGTTCTGACCTTTTGTCGCTTTGAAATAAAGCACCCGATGTGAATAATGAAAATCCTATTCCTGTTTTCCGTTGGCATAAAGAATTTTTAATTGGTTTTCATAAAATTTTCAAGTGATTTTTCAAATTTTCAAATGATTGTTGTTTAAATACCTCCAAATATAATAGTAGAGAGTCGGCTTCTTTCCTCTAATGGAACCCACTTGCCGATAAGAGTGTGAATGGAAGGAAAAATAAACCCTTGAGACAATCCTTGCAGCACTCGACAAGCACAAAGAAGCTGCCATCCACCCTGTGAGATATGATAAAAGATTTAAAATCCCCAACTTATATTATTTTATTCAAATTAAACTTGTAAATAACAGATAAGCACACTAATTGCAGTTGTTAACTGAAAGTTGTTCGTGTTTTAGAAACTATTTATTGTAAGGAAACTATTTAGCAGCCTGAACACAGTTTAAAACATTCCTTTATTATGAAAGTAAAGTATGGAATAATTACCCTCCATATCGCATTAAATTAATACATTGAGTTATATGCAAAAAAAAATTATTTTGTTTGATCGTATGCTGCCTCCTTTTTCAAGTTCACGGCAAAGTAATATTATCATTTGGTTGTCTTCAAAAGACAACAGGCTGTCATTGAGATAATATGTTCACCACCTGAGGCTTCAGTTCAACAAACTAACTGATGAATTTCTAATGCAAATAAGTTGGGTTACTGAGTGCTGATTATCTTTATTTCATTTTGACACAATGACATTAGACCATATAGTTTACATGCCAGAGAATAGATGTCACTAGTGATATATTTATGTATTGTGTGTTCTCTGTATTTTCATACAAATAACCGCAACTGAAATGACTGTAAATCACTATCCAGTCGAAATTAACCAACAATACAAATCGCTACAGAACGATACTTCTTTTAAGATATCTTTTTCTTATTATTGGGCCTAGTTATTTACAGCCGATACATCTCTCCGAATTAGAAGAATTATATCTAATAAACTTTAGTTAAAGTTTATACTATTATGTAATAACTTACATAAGTAGCTGCTAAAGGCGTCAGAAGTGAGAGTGCAGCGTTAATGCCAACAGATATGGTTATTAAAATCATTCCTCCAAACCTAGCAGCCAGCTCACCGGCTGGTACTTGCAGAATTATATAACCCCATAGGAATGATGATAGTATTACACTTTGTGTTTGCATACTCCAGTCAAAAGCCTGAAATATGATAAAAAATAAATTAAAAATATATGCTGAAAATACAATCTATCAATTTGGTATATTTTTTAAATTAAACATAATATATGCAATTCATGATTTCATGAGAAAAAAAATCATAAATTTAATATATATTTAATCTCGATGAAAATAAATTACATTTAATGAATATATAATGTGTAAAAATCAGCGATTCACATCTTATTACTAGATTCTTAGATTATGAATCACATATCATTATTTAGCATTTTTCATGTTTATCATCACAAAAATACTATTAAAACTATATGTCTATTAAATTATTACCACACACCATTCTTTGCTTATTAATATTTGTGATTTTTAAATCGTATCAACTAAACTGGCAATAGTTTTGACAAACGATTGTTCTGTAAAGAGTTTGTGTGACTTACATTAGGTTGTGTCTTATCGGTCATGGCCACAATAGCCATACTCATATTCACTCTGAGCGAATAAGCTATTAGTAATCCCGAGAAAAGCATAAAAACCTGAAGATGTCGCACTCCTAGGAATGGTACTGCAATTGAAGATATTTGTGTGTTAAAAGGTAATTAAAATATATGAAGGACAACAATAACTGACCTAAAATGTTTAAAATAACTTATTAATTAAGAATTTGTTCATATACGTCTTTATGAATTTAGCCTTTTAGAACAAAGATTAAAGACGACCTAGAATAAATTTATAATTTTATCGACTACATTAAACAATAAAGTTTAATAAGAGTGCAACGTATTTTTATTTATATTATTTCCATCTGTTCTATTAATTAGTTAATAAAATACATAACACAAGTAACTCCATAACAATACGAACTTTTCTTTAATGTTCTTAAAAGGGTGAAGCTGGTCCATTTGGTGCTAAGTGGTCTTTGCCTCAATTCGACATCAACATAAGGGTGGCTGTGGTAACTAAACAAGTGTTTTGTAAACTATATATTAAATTTAAAGGTATCGAACATTACACGATATCAGACAGTAAAAGATGTGTCCGTGTCTTGTGGACATTTTAAATAAATAAAGTCCATTTTATAGAAACATAAACGTAAACAATGTATTATATGTATTGAATTTTATCGCTTCCATACGTGTAAATAATACAATTCTTTAACAAAACTATTTGCAAGGTACCAATGCATTTTCTGATAAGAAATATTTAATGCAGTATATGAGAAATACTTTTTAAGGTTCCTGCTAGTGTTATTATATTACAAATATTTTTATGACTTGATCCGTGTCTTTTCATATTTCTTTTTCTCTAATCTACGGATTGCATATACATATATATTCTCTCTATATGGCTTGACTGGGCTAGGCTACATTTGATTTATATGGGTAGTGCGAACAGTAATAGCCATTTTACTTTCGTCTTGAAAACATTTATTTCTTAGGTGAAAAGAAACACAGATTCACGAAAACTTTGATATGTTTATGAGGAAGGAAGACAAGTAATTCTTTACCTTGGTGAATTTTAGAACGTAAGGGTAGAAGTCCGCTGTGTTATATTCATTTAGTAGAATTAAATGAAAATTAAAATTAAGTGTAGTGTAGTGTATTATTATAGCTTTTGTAATTGTTATTCGTATAAAGTCACTTATTACAGATGAAATATGGGCTATAGTCGCTTGGTGTAGACATTATTCTTCACTTCACTCATTATGTTTCTTTAATTTGATATGTTTACAAAATATAAATAGATTGATTTGATTTATTTAAAAAATGACGTTTATAGTTGTGGAAGTTGAAACGAGAGTACTGAAAATATCTGTTTTAATACATTTAAGACATAGATTAATTATCTTTGCCAGTTCAAGTTCCTATAGCCTTCTATCCCACAGTGATAAAACAAGTTTTCATCTTGATGACAGACAGAGATCCTTTATAACTCAACCATTTATTCAAAGACACAGATAGTATATCTGAATCAACATAGTATAATTGTAAGAAAATATAATAAAGATAAAGGCATATGAAAATATATAATTTGAGAACTATTTTAATCGTAAATAGAACAGGAAGGTACAATGACTTGTTTTATATTACCTTCATTTAATATTGTTATAAGTATTTCATGAACGTGATAATACAGTTTTATCGTAAGAATGTGCTGGCAGTGGCTGGTTTATAATTATTATAATTTTAATTTTAGTTTATAATTTCTTTAAAATTTCGATGGGGGTTAAAGTAAAATAGATTACTAATCATAATCTGAAATAATAATGATTGGTATTTAATCATCAATATGCGGTTAATAAAGTCGATCATAAAAACACATACAAATTTAATTACTCCTCTCAGTTCAGTTTTGAAAGTGAAAATTCTGTGGAAACAATACGATCAAACTCGTATTTTTTTACTAATAACTCCTATGTAATTTTAACTAACAATAGATCAACAATACTTGCCTGGTTTTTTTGAAGAGTCCATGCACTTAGTTTCCATTTTTAATTAATTTGGAATGTCCAAAGACTTCAATATTTTCCTTTTAAACTGAGAAAATTGGATTTATATATAAGAAGATTAATATTTATAAATGATTGAAGTTATGAAACAACGCGTGACTTGAAACGACACTTAAACATGTTTTATTTTTCCTTAACACCAACGATGTTTTCTTAACTTCAACTGAACTAACAAAACAGACTGACTCGAAACTCAGTCAAGAATTGACTGTCGTTTGACATGATTCAATTAAGATAATACAATAATTTTAAACTACATTCAATAAAAATAATTAGTAAAAACGTTAAGCAATAAACAAAGTCATGAATATTAACGAGTATTAATTAGGTTTTAATTAATATTTTACGACTTCTATTCTATTATTACACTGAACTTAAAAATGGAAAAAAGTTGTGTAGAACACTCAAGATTTTTTTCTTTTGCATTTGTTAAAATTAACAGCAAAGATGAAAGTAACCAATAACCAAATATTTCGATTAAGTATTTTGTCTTCCAACACTTTCATATTTAAGTAACCATTCAATGTCCTTTTTTTTATGGGAAAAATATCCAAATATCCCCTCTTGCCCTGGGTCGGGTAAAGGGCTCCTACTGATTGACAACCCACTACACCTTTTCCTGCTCCGAGCCAGGCAGTGGTACATCATTGCACTTGCACCCGCAACCCGACTTGACATCGCTTAAAAAAGTAAGGGAATCATATAAAAGGGAGGGATGTCGAATCATTAAATAAAAAGCAACGGTAATAAACTAATTACGTCGATATTTTATAAATGAGTATTAAATTCAACGTCACGGTTTTTTTTTACAAATGAATGATTTCACAACGTATACAAATGATTATATTATCTTTCATCGTGAAACTTTATTTCGTTCACTCGATAATGTTTGACATCGGACCCGTGGTCATCATGGTCACGTGCTCTAAAACTATGTACTTTAATCTGTATCTTTGCTAAAATCTTCATATCATATAAATCTTTTCTTAAAATTGTTTTCATCTTGAAGTGTTTTTATTGAATAAATATTCGGTATTCGGCTAATTCAGAAGCTACTATTATTATTTTTTCATTATAAATGAGAATATTTTTTTTTTCACGATAATAATACTTCACCACAGGAATTAGTAACTTATAAGCGTAAATATTATCTACCATACAATATATTTAATATTAATAATGTAAAACTATCTGTTATTTTTAGAGAAAATTTTTATAATTTTTATTTACAAAAAAAAGTTTTTATCGTCACACCATAGACGGAGCTTTACTAGTTGAGTATGAAGAATAATTGTGCCAAATTTCGTTAAAATCCGTCCAGTAGTTTTTGTTTCCATAACGAATATACAGACAGACAGACAGACAAAAATTTTACATATTGCATTTTTGGCATCAGTAGCGATCCCTAAGTACCCCCTGATAGTTATTTTTTAAATATATTTTATGTACAGAATTGACCTCTTTACAGATTTATTATAAGTATAGATATATTTTTTGAATTTAACTGCTGACCGATTGCAGTCATATTGTAAGACATATGACATCATGCGAAAATAGTGTTTAATAACATTCATCTCTCATATTAAAACAATATTATTGTTCATCATACAAGAAGTGGCATGTCCACTGATTCGCTTTTGTTTTGGGATCGAATAAAAAAATAATTATCCTCATTTTATCCTAAACTATACACTGGTGTTAAAGTCAGTACCTATCCCATAGGTAAACGAAGTTTAAATGTGCGAAACTATGCTCCAACCAAATTTGAAATAAACTCGGGAACTGCTGCGGTAAAACGATTGCATAGCATTTTTTATCAACTTATGCAATTACTATTATTTATTTATGAAAACCTTTACCATCATATACATACATACACAAACTTTAAGGTTCAATTACTTACGGGATTGAACTTACTCATAGACCTGCCCAAAAAACACTCTGTTTCACTTAACATTGTGTTTAAAGGAGATAGAATCAGGAGCAATGAGCAGTTACCAGCAAGTCTAGACTCATACGTTTAGCCACACATATATAAACACTGTGCTAAATCTGCTGAACTGAATCGACGTTAGATAATGCACGTCTTTCAACTCCACACCGCTGTGTCGGTTGAAGTTTGGGTTGAGAGGCTCACTTTCGTTACAGAATGTCTTGATTCGATTGCCATGCTCAAAAACTCTCTATAAAAGCTGTGCAACACTTAAAAAAAAAAGACTTCTTAAAATAATTAAATGCATCACTTAAAGTCCTTTCAAACCATAATACCATATAATATCAAATTGTAATAAATACTTTAGCCGCTGCACATTATTTTATGTGGCCTACATTTTGTGTTAGCTGATGTGACTACTAATACTACTACTCAAAACTATTCACAATTCACTCGAGACAGTTTAAACTTCTATTAGATCGAACAAACAAATCTATGTAATTCATTTTATATTAACTTGAAATAGCTATATTTGTTTTATTTGACTAGAGACGTTAAATAGTGCACTAGACACTCATTTCAATT